GTTTAAATATATTATACATGGTTTATACATAAATATATAAAATTATTTAATAAAATTAATAAAATTATTTAAATGTAAATTATATAAAACATGATTAATTAGGTGTTAAATAATTAGTATGCCACATTGCATATTATATGGTTCATAAATAGTAGTACATGTCATATTAATTTCATTTGCATAATTAATATTTTAGTTGCATGTTAGGTTAGTTCACATTAATAACCCATTTATTTTGTTGTTATGAATAAGTAATAATAAAAACTCAAAAATAAGTATATTTGCATTAGTGCTAATCCAATTACATTAGTTTATATAGGCCCAATACACAAGCCCACTCTTTTATTACAAATATATATATATATATATATATATATTAGTGTTAGTCCATTTACATTAGGGTTTATAGTTTAGAGTTTAGGGTTTAGGGTTTAAATTTTAAGGTTTAAGGTTTATGATTTAGGGGTTAAGGTTTCTATAAACTATATATTTTATTACTTTATATAGTTTATATATATATATGTATATATATAGTTTATATATATTATACATGGTTTATACATACATATTATATAAAATTATTTAATAAAATTAATAAAATTATTTAAATGTAAATTAGATAAAACATGATTAATTAGGTGTTAAATATTTAATATGTCACATTGCATATTATATGGTTCATAAATTGTAGTACATGTCATATTAATTTCATTTGCATAATTAGTATTTTAGTTGCATGTTAGGTTAATTCACATTAATAACCCATTTATTTTGTTGTTATGAATAAGTAATAATAACACCAAAAAATAAGTCTATTTGCATTAGTGCTAGTTCATTTACATCAATTTACATAGGCCCAATACATAAGCCCACTCTTTTATTACAAATATATATGTATTAATGCTAGTTTATTTATATTAGGGTTTATGGTTTATGGTTCCGTGTTTAGTATTTATGGTTTAAAGTTTAGGGTTTATGATTTAGGGGTTAGGGTTTCTATAAACTATATAGTTTATTACTTTATATAGTTTATGCATGGTATTTCTATAAACTATATAAGTAATTTACTTTATATAGTTTATATATATGTGTGTGTGTATAGTTTATATATATTATACATGGTTTATACATACATATTATATAAATTTATTTAATAAAATTAATAAAATTATTTAAATGTAAATTATATAAAACATGATTAATTAGGTGTTAAATAATTAGTATGTCACATTGCATATTATATGGTTCATAAATAGTACTAAATGTCATATTAATTTCATTTGCATAATTAGTATTTTAGTTGCATGTTAGGTTAATTCACATTAATTGCCCATTTATTTTGTTGTTATGAATAAGTAATAATAAAACCCAAAAATAAGTCTATTTGCATTAGTGCTAGTCCATTTATATTAGGGTTTAGTGTTTAGGGTTTAAAGTTTAGGGTTAAGGGTTTCTATAAACTATATAGTTTATTACTTTATATAGTTTATGCATAGTGTTTCTATAAACTATATAAGTAATTTACTTTATATAGTTTATATATATATATATATATATGTGTGTGTGTGTGTGTGTGTGTGTGTATATATAGTTTAAATATATTATACATGGTTTATACATAAATATATAAAATTATTTAATAAAATTAATAAAATTATTTAAATGTAAATTATATAAAACATGATTAATTAGGTGTTAAATAATTAGTATGCCACATTGCATATTATATGATTCATAAATAGTAGTACATGTCATATTAATTTCATTTGCATAATTAATATTTTAGTTGCATGTTAGGTTAGTTCACATTAATAACCCATTTATTTTGTTGTTATGAATAAGTAATAATAAAAACCCAAAAATAAGTATATTTGCATTAGTGATAATCCATTTACATTAGTTTATATAGGCCCAATACACAAGCCCACTCTTTTATTACATATATATATATATTAGTGTTAGTCCATTTACATTAGGGTTTATAGTTTAGAGTTTAGGGTTTAGGGTTTAAATTTTAAGGTTTAAGGTTTATGATTTAGGGGTTAAGGTTTCTATAAACTATATATTTTATTACTTTATATAGTTTATATATATATATATATATATATATATATATATATAGTGTATATATATTATACATGGTTTATACATACATATTATATAAAATTATTTAATAAAATTAATAAAATTATTTAAATGTAAATTAGATAAAACATGATTAATTGGGTGTTAAATAATTAATATGTCACATTGCATATTATATGGTTCATAAATAGTAGTACATGTCATATTAATTTCATTTGCATAATTAGTATTTTAGTTGCATGTTAGGTTAATTCACATTAATAACCCATTTATTTTATTGTTATGAATAAGTAATAATAACACCAAAAAATAAGTCTATTTGCATTAGTGCTAGTTCATTTACATCAATTTACATAGGCCCAATACATAAGCCCACTCTTTTATTACAAATATATATGTATTAATGCTAGTCTATTTATATTAGGGTTTATGGTTTATGGTTCCGTGTTTAGTATTTATGGTTTAAAGTTTAGGGTTTATGATTTAGGGGTTAGGGTTTCTATAAACTATATAGTTTATTACTTTATATAGTTTATGCATAGTATTTCTATAAACTATATAAGTAATTTACTTTATATAGTTTATATATATATGTGTATGTGTATATAGTTTATATATATTATACATGGTTTATACATACATATTATATAAATTTATTTAATAAAATTAATAAAATTATTTAAATGTAAATTATATAAAACATGATTAATTAGGTGTTAAATAATTAGTATGTCACATTGCATATTATATGGTTCATAAATAGTAGTACATGTCATATTATTTTCATTTGCATAATTAGTATTTTAGTTTCATGTTAGGTTAATTCACATTAATAGCCCATTTATTTTGTTGTTATGAATAAGTAATAATAAAACCCAAAAATTAGTCTATTTGCATTAGTGCTAGTCCATTTATATTAGGGTTTATGATTTAGGGTTTAGTGTTTATGATTTAAATTTTAGGGTTTAGGATTTCTATAAACTATAAACTTTATTACTTTATATAGTTTATGCATAATGTTTCTATAAACTATATAAGTAATTTACTTTATAATGTTTATATATATATAGGTATATATATATATAGTTTATATATATTATACATGGTTTATACATACATATACTATAAGTTACATATATAATTTAGAGGTTAGGGTTAAGGGTTAAGGGTTAAGGGTTAAAGGTTGGTGGTTTAGGGTTCTCAATTTAGTGTTTAGGATTTAAGGTTTTTATAAACTATATATTCTATTACTTTATAGAGTTTGTGCATAGTATTTCTATAAACTATATATAATTTATAGATTACTTATATTTGTTATACATACATATATATACTATATTAATATAAATTATAATTTATAAACTATATATTTTATATAGTTTATACATATAGAGTTTATATACATACATATATATGTTTATATATAATTAAAAGTAATTAGAATGTATACATGATTAAATTGCATCAAATTGAAAATTTAAGAAGATATTTACAATTAAACCATGACTAAAATGAAAGAAATTAAAAATCAAATACAAGTGGAAAAATGATGATTTTGGAGGAGCATGAGCCTAATTAACCCAAAATATCTTGTTGGACACTATATTTGGCGTTACTTCCCAAAATTTTCTATTCCCTCTACATTTTCCAATTTCCCTCTAAATTCTCAATTTCCCTCTAAATTCCCAAATAAAATAAAAAAATCACACACAAAAAAAATATTTCTTTTAAAAGGATTTCTCTCACCACTCACTTTGAATAATATATATATATATATATATATATATATATATATATATATAAGTATATACATAAATTTCTACATATATAATTAAACATAAGTGATTAAAATAAAAGATTCTAAAATTAACATTAACATTTAATAATTATGCACATTAAAGATAGAAGGGAAAATTAAAAATAATTAGAATTATATACATGACTAAATCGCATTGAATTAAAAATTTAATAAATGATTTACAATTAAACTATGACTAAAATGGAAAAAAAATCAAATAAAAAAATAAAAAAGTTTTTGTTGATGGAGGATTGAGGGCCTAATTAACCCAGTACTAAACCTTCTCGTCATATCTGAAAATTTTCCTAAAAAATTTCCAAATTATAAAATCAAATTGTCAAAATTCTCTTAAAACTTTTACCACCTCTAAATTTACCAATTATAAGATCAAAATTTACAGTTTATATATTTTCTGACTGCCGAAGGTATTCTACAAAAACTGCTCTCAACCTGACGTTGGAACAGTCTACTACCATACCTACCCTTTACGTTATTACATATGGAAATATAGTTTTGTTGTTGTTGTATATATAGTTTATATAAACATAGTTTATATATATAGCTTATAATAATTATATAGTTTATAATATAAATATAATTTATATATATATACACTATATATAAATTTATATTATATATATAATGTTTTTTTTCATTTTTTAAATGAATGCAATTTATTATATTTTTTATTATTTTGGTTTCATCCTTTTGTGATTTTTAATTTATTTCAATTTTAAGTCTCACTTTTATATGTATTTAATTTAATCCTTAAATTTATATTTGCATCTTCATTTGACTAATTATTATTTATATTTTTATAACTGGTCCATAACTTTTTAAATAGATATAATTTAATCATTTTTTATATTATTTTTAACCTCACATTTTAAATTTATTTTGATTTGATCTCTTTCCTATACATATTTTTTAATTTATATTTTAAAATTTTATTTGTGATCTTACATTTCTTCAAATTTATCCTTAAATTTATATTTTTTACAAATTAATCCATGTTTTTTTTTGTAATTTAATTGAAATAATAAACAATTACAACTTACAATTTAACAATCACAAAAAATGACAAAATAATTAATCCAAAAATGAAAATAATCCGACTTGAACTCAATCCGTATTCGATAAACATCTGACCTAAATTTTATCTATTAATGATGTGACCTAATTTGAACGAGATCCGATTGAAACCCACCTAAACCTAAATTAACCTAATCTTTATCTGCTTCGGACCTAAATTGTTTTGATCTGAACTGACATCGATCTGAACTGTAAATGACTTGACTTGAACCCAATCTAAATCTGATGTCAAATTAACCTGAAAATGACCCGAACTGATTTAACTTGTACCCGACTTGATCCGAGTCAAACCATCAAATTGACCTAACTTAACTTGTACCTGATTTTACTCAACTTAACAAGATCTGACTGAAACCTGTCCGATTACTTGATTTTACGGCTTTAATTTTGGGATATACGTACTGTCCCACCAAAAAGCCATCACCATATGCACAAGGCAAAACTGTATAAAACAATTTGAGTGCTGCTATTAAACCCGGAACGACCTGGCAGTTAGGTCGGCGATTCCGACAGAATATCTACAGAAAAGGATACTCAATCGAGCAACTTAAGTCTATCCACAGCGATGCTGCCTGCACATTTCCCCTAAGACATGACATTCGCTAGCTGCCATGTCCAAGGTTCCAGTTGTTGGATGTTTTTGTCGTTATGATCATCTACATAATACAAAGGCAAAACTTATTCAGCGTTCGTACATTTGAGTAGACAATTTAGATTCCTTTTAAACAGGATTTCACGAGGTACGGGCCATCATCAAATGATTTAGAATTTCATTGAACCATATGCACAAGGCAAAATTCTATACCTTTGTGTTTCCGAGTTTGCAACTTCTAGTGCAGGCATCTGTGAATCAAACATGTAAGTAATTATTGCATGCAACAATAATTGACTGTTTACCATATGTAGAAAATACTCCCCGTTTTCTTTATGTTACCTCCATATTATTCGGATTTGAAGGTGAAATCTTGAAATCTCTCTCAAGCAGCTTCTCATGCTCAAGGGGGAATAACAGATTGCTCAGATTCAACTTCATTGGTGAATATTTCAATTTTAAATCAAGGTATCAAATAGAACTCGAACAACTGAAATCTTTTAGTAATTAATAGATTGGTTTTCAAGTGGACCGACATAATTTGGGGATAACCAGGGGCAGAACACAGACAAGGACAGATACAAATGTATTAGTACACCCTTAGCTTCACTATTTGTGAAATATTTTATGGGGAAAAAACAGCAAAGATCATCAAATATACTCTCCATGTTCATCACACCAGTCCAAGAAACGAAGAAAGATATCCTCAATCCAATAGAGGGCATGATTATCACAAGCTGCATTTAGAACTCGAAAACACAAGCATATGGAAAAGAAGAACATAAATAACATTATCATCAATTAGAGGCCCCCCTTTGGTACCCTCTGCCAGACCGTTTGTTGCAGAGGCCATACAACCCTCTCTAGTGCTGGGTAGTATCCTCGCGAGGGGTCGTTTAATAAGAGGATTCATCCATCAAAAAGGGAGAGGGTTTTCAGATACCAAAAAATAAGAGCTTTTAAAAGAGGGGGAGATCATTCAGCAAATGAAAAAGAAAGAGGAGATAATACAAAAAGGAGGGCAACCAAAAATCAGCAAGGAACCACTCTAAAATGGAAATCCATTTAGATCCAAAAACCAAGACAAAAAATCATTTGAAGAATTGAAAATCAGAGAAAGGAGAGCATCGGACAAGAGAGACAAATAGAGATAAACGGGATTAGCAGAGGCGAAACACGAAGCAAAATAAGGGGCCTCCTTTTCGAAGGTATCGTTCTTCTCTAGTATAAATCTCGAGGAAATTAGTGGGATTAAGAGTAGGTTACCTGGTTCGTGGAGGTTCTGACGCCGAAGAGAACCTTCGAGCTCCGTTCTTCGTTGTTGGGTCATCATCGTAGAACCCAAAAAAGACCTGATCGTCGAGATTTTCCATGGAGTGGTGGTCGTGGTCTCCATCTTCTCTTCAAAGAAAGTGAAAAATTAAAGAATGGTGGCTTACAGATGAAGAGAGGCGGGGAGGGCATTCAAATGGGTAGTTTAGTTTTTAGGTTAAATTTTAAAGAGAAAATCGCCTCAGTGATCAAAAAAAAGTTATAATATACGATTTTAACCAACTTTTTTTGGATTTGCCAAAATGACCAACAAAATCGCAACGCGAAATAAAAATCGCAACGCGATCCCCAGAATCGCAAATCAGTGTCCAAAATCGCAACGCGATTCTTGAAAATCGCAATGCGATAGTCAAATTCGCATTGCGATTTTCCAAAATCGCAACGCGAATATGAAAATCGCAACGCGAACACATAAATCGCAATGCGTATCCGTAAATCGCAACGTGTATCCGTAAATCGCAACGCGTTTCCGTATATCGCAACGCGTATCCGTAAATCGCAACGATAATCCGTAAATCGCAACGAGAATCTGTAAATCGCAACGATAATCCGTAAATCGCAACGAGAATCTGTAAATCACAACACTGAAATTTTGGGTATATAACACTGAAATCATAAACTAAATCCCTAAATCGCAACTCATTCCATCTCCATCTATCACTCTCTCCGGCGACATCCGTTCTATATCCAACGACATCCTTCCCAATCCGGCAACAGGTTTTAGTTTCGCAGCTCGTCTGTTTAGTAAATTAATTTACAACCATGAAATCATCTAATGTTGATCATGTTTGGATAGATTTGTGTTTTGGAGGGTCATGGGATATGTTCATGGTGTTTTACAATATATGCCTTTACCCATGAATCTTCAACTAAAATTGTCTTTACAAAAGTTAACTTATGAAACTCTAATGCTACGTGTTTCAAATAAATTGAATTTAGAGCCCCTAAGTGGATTTAGGCTATCTTATCAGAGAAATGGTAAAGTTTATTTGTTAACCGCAATGAAGATGTTGAACGATTCATTGCTTACATTAGGGTTTCACAAGATGATGTTACTGTATGTTGTTGAACCTAGAAGTAGTATTGTTGGGTCAGTAGCGGGTAGTAATCAACTAAGTTTTTCTCAAAAACCCACAACCTTTCTCTAATCCAATCCCAATCAACTTTCAGCACCAAATTCCGGTTTTCGTATTGACCAGTTAGACGATGATGAGCCAACAGAAAAATTGTGAGTACTAGTCAGTATTCGAATTTGGTCTTGGTCATATCCGGACTTTGATATTGGTCAATACACGGATTTTGATGATGTTTCAGAAAAAAACAGACCATGCGTGTAATGATATTGATATTGGTCAATACCCGAATTTTGATGATGAAACAGCCGTTGCCGAAGAATGTAATGTTGATGATAATGAGGAGGAAGTTACGACTGTGAATGAACATGTTGAACATCCATTATGTAATTCATATAATCCTGAAGAAGAAAAAGAAGAAGAAAAAGTCCCCCGAAGAAAAGAAGAAGAAAAAGTCCCCGAAGAAAAGAAAATGCCACGGGCGTATAACTGGAATATGCCAGAATTACTTCAGATACCGGAAGAAGAGTTGATAAAGAAAGCAGTTGATTGTTACACAAAAGTTATTCGTATCAAGAAAGATGATTGTTTTGATACAAAGGAAGACTTGAAGATAGCTTTATATACGAAATGTGTGGAAGATGGCTATCAACTAAAAGTTAACAAATCAAGCAAAGATCGTTTCGAAACAAGGTGTATGATTGACAAAAACTGTACGTGGCGTATGATTGCAAAGAGAATAAAAGATTGCAAAATGTTTCAAGTTAGGACTTTTATTGATAAACATACATGTTCAAGAACCCAAGTTTTTCCTCACCATAGACAGGCAAACAAAAGGTGTTGGGTGGTTTTCTGCTGAGTTAATGTTTTTGAATGGCAGGGTATATCGGGACATGAAATTATGACTGACATGAATGCTCGTTCAAGATTAGTATATCATTCTCAAGCTTGGAGAGCCAAATGTTATGCCTTGGAATTGTTGAGGGGGTCGCCAGAAGCATCGTTTGCCCAACTGCCGGCTTATTGTCACAATTTAAAGCTGAAAAATCCTGGGTCGGTAACTCATATCAAAACAGATAGAGATGGACGCTTTGAGTTGCTGTTTATCGCCATTGGTGCTACGGTTAGTAAATCAATATAATTTTGTTGACTCATTTTTGTTAGTTACATGCATTTCACATTTAAATGATTATATTTCTTGTGTATATTATTTTGTAGATTCGTTCGTTTATTACTTGCATGCGCCCAGTTATTATAGTTGACGGAGCACATTTGAAAGGTCGATACCTTGGAGTAAACTTATTAGCAGTAGCCATGGATGCTAACAATGGGATATTGCCAATAGCTTACGGGGTTGGCAAATCTGAAACCTCTGATTCATGGACATGGTTTATGGGGCATCTTAGGGATTGCATAGGTCCTATTAGCAATCTGACAATCATATCCGATAGGGCAAACTCAATTGACAACACTGTTAGAAGGTGTTTCCCAGATGCTTTTCATGGACTTTGGTGGTGTTCATTTGTATAGAAATCTAAATCAAGGTCTGCTGGTATAAAAAAGCACAAATGGACATACTGGAAGGCTGTAAAAGCTTATCGGGAAGTGGATTTCAATAGCATATAAATTGTTTAAGACTGTTTTGCCTCAGTGTGCTCAAACACTAGAAGATGTGGGTTTGAAAGATGGTCAAGAGTACATCAACTTGGAGCAAGATATGGTTTCATGACGTCTAATAGTGCAGAATCAATCAACGCTCTAAGTCGTCATTCCCGGAAATTACCCATTACTATGTTAATGGAGTTTTTCGAGCCTCTATTCAACAGTGGTACTACAAGAAAAGAAACCATGCAGGTATTATTTCTTTGAATTCGTAACTTATCATATTATATATTTTACTAAGTATTGTTTATTTAAATTTACAGGAACATTGGAACATCGTGTTACACCATGGACTGAAAAAAAGATAACGAAACGTGTTGTGAAGTCAACGTCATGGAGAGTTGAACCATGTTCAAACACTTTGTTTCAAGTACTGGATAATAACTTAAATGGGCTAGTCGATCTAAATGCAAAGACGTGTAGTTGTATGAAATGGCAAACATCTGGTTATCCGTGTGGCCATGTTATAAAAGTTGCTCTTCATTTAAACCAAGATGATTCAAGCGCATACGCTATGGATTGCTACACTACAGAAGTTTATCGACAGACTTATGCCGAGATTGTCTACCCTATTCCACATCCTTCTGAGTGGGACATACCAGATGACTTACAAACAGTTTTGCCACCAGCCATGGACAGAAGGCTACCTGGCCGACCAAAAAGTCACGATCGTATACCGTCTAAGGGTGAAGAGAAGAAGAGATCGACATGTAGTCGGTGCAAGGAAAGTGGTCATACAAGGTTGACATGTGGATCACCAGTGCCATCAAAATCATCTTTTCCTCTACCAAAATATGGATCCTCATCAAATCCAAAGCTCATATGGTGTCAGCAAAAGGCAATCATCTTTAAAATCCCAATCACAATTGGCTTCACCTTTTGAGACTGTTAACTTAGGTGATTTTTAAATGCAAACGTTGTATTATGTGGATTTTATGTGTGAACTTTTAACATTTTCAGTTGAATTAATGACTCAGGCCAACCATTTTGACTTAACCAACTCTTGTTATTCAGTTGTTATCACTATTAGGCATGCATTTGACTATCGCAACACGGAAATTACAATCGCAACGCGAAATGAAAATCCCAACATGAAAATCGCAATGCGGAAATGAAAATCGCAACGAGAGAATCGCAATGCGAAATGAAAATCGCAATGCGAAATGAAAATCGCGTAGAGTACCGATCTCCTCACGCAAGGCATTGACCTCATCACGTAACTCCCTTGACTCATCCCGTTGAGGTGGAGGTGGAGAACAGGGAGATAGGAGTCGTGGCATCTTTGCCGGTCGCCTATCATGAGGTGATGGTGGAGAAGAGGCTCGATGATGTGACGGGATAGGTGATGGCTCTCGTTCTAGAGGTGTATAGTCGGGTCTATCGGGTGATGGCTCTAGGTGAGGTGATGGCTCTCGAATTGGAGGAAGTGGATGCTGCTCATCATCCGTGCCATCAAAAAAACTCTGACTAGCTTGCCACCAATCAGTGGCAAGCTCTTCCTCCGTGGGGTCAGTCTTTGTAATGGAATGTTGGCCTCCTAAAATATAAAAACTCAAACAAGTTAAACGTCTACTATTAATAACTAGTTTATATTTATGAAAGTATTTGTGTTAACTTACATTATTTATTGTCGCATATGGTATTAAGTCTTCCCAATCCAACAGAGTTTTCCTCTTCCAGGAAATAGCCCTGGGAATATCATTTGACGTTTTTATTGCATATGTACGCATGCTGGGGAAAGCCTCGAATATCCAAATCTACAAACAATATAATAACAAAATTAGTAATTGTTAAATAATTAATTATAATTTTAGAAACTTTATAGAAATTCTTACCTTAAAGGCCCAAACAAAGCCTGACAAGTGTATTGGACCCATCGCCCCGCAAACTTTTGCGGTCATCAAAGGCAGACGACAACTTAGTCCAGGTAGCTTTCCATATACGAACCCCACGGAAACAGATTCCATGCATTCAGGTCCTCTACCAATATTATTAGCTCCCGATGAATAGGTTGTCTGGCCTCTCTGCCTAAAAAGCCGGCATACACAAGTAGTAGAAGGCATACTCGGACAACATCGACGTCATCCATCCGAGTGAAACCAGCTTTCTTATTAAACAATTTCTTCAGGTCGTCGACATGTAGGTTCGGCTTCTCCATTGACTCATCCGGAAAAACCTGGGATAACCATGATGGGCGGGCGATATGACGAGTGTACCGGCCTACATCATCGTGTCCGAATCGTAGACCAGTGATTAAGCAGAACTCCTTCCGCCCAAAGCAAGTATACGCTGGTGGAAAATGAAACCATATCTCTTCCTCACCACGTTGTATACTGTCGGGTAGATTTGATGTCATGGTCTGAAGCCACAAATGGGTCAAATT